GGCGTGCGGGCGGCCGCCGGGTGAGGCGTCCCCACAGTGGAGGGTCGCTCGGGTGGGCCGTGTCTTCATCTCCACGGTCGGGGAGACCGTGTGGCCGAGCGCTAGGAGCTGGGAGAGCACCGGTCTCTCACATTGATGTTTCTCTCTCTATCTCTCCCCCTCCCTTCCACTCTCTCTAAAAATCAATAGAAAAATATCCTTAGGTGAGGATTAATAAAAACAAATAATAATAAGGGAGAGATAAAAACAACATGTGAAATGAAATAGTGAATATATTGAGAGCATAATAATAAGTTCGTGCGGGCGTCTGCCGCCGCCGGCGTCCTCATCCTTCCCGTCCAGTCCTGCCCTCGCGTCTGCTCCGCTCCCAGGGCTTCCCGTCTCTCCTTGCTCTGCGCCGCGGGAGCCGGAGCCCAGAGCGGCTGCACCCGCACGGCCCTGCCCCGCCGGACCCTGGGGCCCCGCTTCCAGCGCTGCCCACTCGCTCCTCCCTGCCCCGTCCTCCGCTTGGCGTCACTTCGCAGTTCCCTTTCTTCCCTGAGTCGGAGGCGGCGGAAGCCGTCTCGGGGCTTCCTCTCGGTGTCCAGTGGGTGGGGGTCTCGGCGCGCCCCCTTTCTCCCCCACGCCCTGCAGTTCCTCCCCGGCTCAGCCACGGGGACAGACGCCCCAGCTAGCTCGGAGGCACGGGATACACGTGACAAATATCGAAGATGGTTATTGCTTGGGTTTTGAAACGGAAAATGAATTGGAGCGGCCAGATCAACCCATACCTAGGGTCAAGATCGAGTTCTTAAAGGATCACGTGAAAACGTAATGACAAAGTGTATTATCCCCGAATCATAATCCGTTTTTCTTGGGGAATTTACTCATATCTCTGCCACATTGTTCTAACAATTTAATGTGTGTGTGTGTAAGAGAGAAATTTGTGCTAGTTTTGTAAATGGCTGCTTGACTAATGAGGCTGAGGTTTGGAGCTTAAGTGTTTTGGCTTCAAAGAAACCCTTAATTTTTCGAATGAGGAAAACTCAAGTAGGTTTCTCAAGGTCATTAATGTGAGAGATCTCAAACTTAAACCCAGGTCAGAGTCCTCAGAGGCCCACCAGGAAAACCCGTCATGGCTTACTCATGTGTGCAGAATGGCAGGTACATGGCTGTGTTCCCGGCTGTCACAGGGGCCCCAACAGGCTCCCCCTGGCCTCCAAGGCCCTGCCTTCTCGGACTCCCCAGGCCTCTCCAGCTCCCACTTACTGCTCACCAGGTACCTGACCTGTCTGGGTCAGCTCGTCTTCAGACTGCTC